GGGGACTGTGGGGTTTTTTGGGGGGTCCTGAGCTTTGGGGGGGGGTCCCTGTGTGGAGGGGTCCCAGGGTTCTCCTGATTGAGTTGATTTTTCTGATTGTTTGGTTTGTTACCTGGTTTAGTACCAATTTATTGTGGATTTTATTCTTATTTCGCATGTTGTCACTGCCGGTTTGTTCTCAGTCTTTGGGTTGTTTGTGGGAGTTCCCGGGTTTATTCATTTTAGCCGATAAATGCCATTTTTTACCCAACAAATGCCATTTTAAAACTAGTGAACCCACTTTTATTTGGTAAGTGCCAATATTTACCCAATAAACGCCCACATTTACCCAATAAATGCCATTTTAAAACCAATAAATCCACTATTTATTTAGTAACTTCCGATTTTAACCCCATAAATGCCCTTTTTAACCCCATAAATGCCCTTTTTAACCCCATAAATGCCCTTTTTTACCCCATAAATGCCCTTTTTTACCCCATAAATGCCCTTTTTTACCCCATAAATCCACTTTTATTTGGTAAATGCCAATTTTGACCCGATAAATCCTATTTTTTTTATCCCAGAAGTGACTTTTTTGTAGCCAGTAAATCAACTTTTAAACTGATAGATCCACTTTTTGTTAGGAAAATGCTCTTTTTTTACCCAATAAACCCCATTTGTTTACCCAATAAATGCAATTTCTTACCCAATAAACCCCATTTCTTGCCCCATAAATGCCATTTTATCCCAATAAACCCCATTTTTGCCAAATAAACCCCATCTTTTACCCCATAAATGCCATTTTTAACTCAATAAACGCCAGTTTTATCCCAATAAACCCCATTTCTTACCCCATAAACCCCATTTTTAACCCAATAAACCCCATTTTTGCCAAATAAACCCCATTTTTATCCCACTAAACCCCATTTTTATCCCAATAGACCCCATTTTTTACCCCATAAACCCCTTTTTTACCCCATAAATGCATTTTCTTACCCAATAAACCCCATTTTTAACCCAATAAACCCCATTTTTAACCCAATAAACCCCATTTTTAACCCAATAAACTCCATTTTTAACCCAATAAACTCCATTTTTAACCCAATAAACCCCATCTTTTACCCCATAAATGCAATTTCTTACCCAATAAACCCCATTTTTATCCCAATAAACCCCATTTTTATCCCAATAAACCCCATTTTTTACCCCATAAATGCAATTTCTTACCTAATAAACCCCATTTTTAACCCACTAAATGCCATTTCTTAGCCCACAAATGCCACTTTTTACCCAACAAACCCCGTTTTCCAACCATTGACCCCCAAATCTGGTGCCTTACGCTGTCACTCCCCCGTTTTCCCGCAGATGTCTGCGCTCTGCCCATGGTGGTGGGGCCGTGCCGGGCCGCGGTGCCGCGCTGGTGGTTCAACGGCTCCAGCTGCCAAGGCTTCATCTTCGGGGGCTGCGAGGGCAACGCCAACAACTTCGCCACGGAGACCGAGTGCAGGCAGCGCTGCGGCTCCCCCAGCGGTAGGGACCCCCAAATTTGGGGCGGTTTGGGGGATTTTGAGGAGTTTGGGGTTAAAAAGCTAAAATAACCCCGTGTGGGGAGGTGTTTGTTGGGTTTTTTTGAGGGTTTGGACACGAAAATGGTTAAAAAACCTCAAATAATCCCATTTTGGGGGTTATTTGAGGGGTTTGGGCAGAAAATAACCCCATTTGTTGGGTTATTTTGGGGTGTTGGACACCAAAACCACTCAAAGCCCCTCAAATAATCCAATTTTGTGGGATATTTTGGGGGTTTGACCCCAAAATGTCCCAATTTGTTGGGTTATTTTGAGGTTTTGGACACCAAAGTGGTTAAAAAACCCCAAATAATCCAATTTTAGGGGTTATTTGAGGGGTTTGGGCAGAAAATAACCCCATTTGTTGGGTTATTTCGGGGTGTTGGACACCAAAACCACTCAAAGCCCCTCAAATAATCCAATTTTGTGGGATATTTTGGGGGTTTGACCCCAAAATGTCCCAATTTGTTGGGTTATTTTGAGGTTTTGGACACCAAAGTGGTTAAAAAACCCCAAATAATCAAATTTTTTGGGTTATTTTAGGGGTTTGGGCAGCAAAATGTCCCAATTTGTTGAGTTATTTTGGGTTTTTGACAGCAAAACCACTCAAAACCCCTCAAAGAATCCGATTTTTTAGGAGATTTTGGGGGTTTTGACCCCAAAATGACCCAATTTGTTGGGTTATTTTGGGGTGCTGG